CAGGAATCCCAGAAATAAAACTCTCTACCGGGCTCGGTGATTTAGCAGCAAGAAAAACAAAATGGCGATCCAATTCCAAGAGGGACCGTGCTTGGTCACCGGCCCGGGAATGCTTCTGCCGGAGTCTCGCCCTCCGGACCCAAAGTGCTCTGCGCAGTCTCCTCTTCCTTCATTTCAGGCTTCTGGATTAAGGATTGTTCTGTCGATGATGGTGGTGGTGGTGGTGTGGTGGCAGCGGCGTGGTTTCTGTGTCAGTCATTCTGTATCCATCTCTCCTGGTGAGAGGTCTGGTTCCCGAAACCCTGAGGGAGGCTCCTTCCTCCAGCCTGGCTCACCGCCTCGGCTTGTCACATCTGCGGAACGGAAAACAGAGGCGGGGTTAGGGCCAGGGGAGGAGCTGGGGGGAGTCCCCGCAGCGGGAGGATGGTGCCAGCATGGTCCTGCCTCGGGGACCCCGGGCGGGCGAGGGAGAGGCCAGCCCCTGCCCAATGGGCCCTGTCCCAGCCTCTGTCTGAGCAGTAGCCATGCTCAGGGCTCCCCATCTGCCCTCTCAAGCTTACAATCGAGTTGAGACAAAGCAAGGACATGAGGACACCCCGTCACAAGTAACAAATAAACACATACTAAGAACAGTCCCTGCTGGACGCCTAAGAGCTAATGGGTGACCAGAGCTGGGCCAAGTGAACCAGGAAAAGGGCCCCTGCAGAAGGAGGTGTTTCAGCTCCGTCTCATGGGGCAGGTCTGGGGGAGAGAGTGAAAAGAGCGCCTTGAGCAAGGGGAAGGGGCCCGGTGGGAGACAGCCAGCTGACGGGGGACGCTGCCCCTGAGAACGTGGGGCTCCCAAGGCAGGGGAGCCGGTGGGGTGGGGGGCACAACTCCCTTCCCCACCCCCTCCCTCCCAGCCTCAGCCACAGGCCTCCTCAGTCCTTCTTGCCCCAGGCCCCAGGCTGCTTTCCTTTCCGACATGCTCTGTAACGTGGGGTGGGGGAGAGGCCACCGGAGGCTGTGCTGTCGCACTGAAGCGGAGGGGACTCCGAGAACTCGCTCCTCATGCCCCCGCCCCTGGGCTGATGGACATCTGCCCGCCCCACTGTGAGGCGATGGAGCAGGCCCTGCCCTTCTGAGAGTCTGAGAATGGGGATCCTAAGCCTTTAGCTGGGGCACTGAATCCCCCACACAGCCAAGTCAGGGGCTGGGGAAGGTCCCTCAGTTAGCTCCTAGGTCACTGCACACATCCCCACCCCAGACAGTCTCTCTGCAGAATAATCTCTATGGAAGCCCCACAATGGCAAGTCCCGGATCTCCCCCAGGCTCCCCAGGGGGGTGTGGAGACCCCTCATCCATTCCTGGAGTTAGGCAGAGCCCCCACCGCCAACACTAGTATACACTCTCTGTCTTCACATATCACCAGACAGACAGAGCCCCACAGCGACACCCCAAGACACGGTCCCCAGCGTCCTCGGAACACTCACAAGCCACAGGAACATGGTGGCGGGGAGGTAGCCACATTCTGAGGACTTGGTTAATGAAGCTTGTGGACTAGGCCGGGGAGTCCCCACAGAGGCCCCTCCTCCCCGGGTGATGCTTGAGCACAGCCCTGTGCTCCCGACCTCACCCTCTGACCTCGCTCACACCCTTGACACTCCCCTGGTCCCCACTGTGGACAGAGGTATAGATTCCCTGGGGGGGGCGGGGGTCACACAGGTGAATAAAAACCAGGCCCAGGTGTGAGGAGTTAGTTCACAGTCTAATGTTAGGAAAGCCCTCCCTCCACCCATCCTGGGGGCATTTGTAATATGTGGGCTGTTAGGGGTTGTTGCCACGACTACTAGAGTATTAAAGAACTCTTTTGTCCCCAGATGTTAAATCTCCTACCCTCCCTAAACCAATAGCCAGAGCCCATGCCTTCCGGAACCCGGTATGAGGAGAGACTCAAGTCCTGCCCCTGTGGAGAGACAGTGAGGGGTGAAGAGCCTCGTGGTGCAGACTGCAGAGGGCCAGGCCCCCAGGAGAGCGTCTGCGTGTTACAGACGGCGGCGGCCCCACACCGGGAAGGGCCCTCCGTGTTAATAGCGATGGTAGTAACCACAATGTCAGGACCAACAGCCACCACGAGCAGGACCACAGGACACAACACTCAGCTTGCGTCCACACCACCACATTAAGCCACACCAGTCTACCCACTCAGGCAACCAGGGCAACCTCCGAGGGGCCCTGCCAGGCCAGACCAGCTCCCGCCACCCAACGCAGGGGCCTCGCGAGCCAAGAAGGTAGTAGTCGCCAGGCAGGCAGCTAGAAGCCAAGCAAGCAGCTGGCCCCTCTCAGGTACCGCTCGCTCTCTCGCACTCTCTCTCTCTCTTCTTCTCTCTCTCTCCAACTCTGTGTCAAGCCCCTCTCTGACTCGCTCGCCCTCTGGGAACCAACCTGCAAGTACGTTCGTTTAACTCAAGCTGCCTCGCCTTGCAACGTGAGTCTGTGTTTTTGCAGGAACATTTACACGTCTGCGGATCTTGTACAAACAAATGCTTTCTCCGCTCTGAGCAAGGCCCACAGGGACTGCAAAAAGGCAAAAGGAAAGACATCTAAGCTAGAGCGTCAGCAGAGAGAGAGAAAAAAAAACCATGCAACACCCCCTAATGTGTGCAGCAGGGCCCCCACCCAGCTCGTGGGCCCCCACACCCTTCCACGCCCTGGAAGGATCCAAGTGCTACAGTGGAAGACAGAGAGCACGCGGAAAGAGGCAGCGCTGGTAGGAAGCCTGCCCGCAGAGAGAGGCAAACACAGACGGGCAGAGAGTGCAAGGAGAGGGCAATGCTATCCACTGGACCAGTGCAAGCCCCAGGCCACAGGGTCCCCACTGCTACTGCCCCCAAAAGAGCACCTGGCTCTCCACCTGCTGGGGCGGCAATCGGGAGCCACCTTCTCCCTGTGCGAGGGCGCATGCCCAGGCCCCTCCACCAGAGGTGGGCTGAAATGGGGTGTGACACCCGGCTGAGCCCAGAGGCAGTGTCCACAGAGGGGGACACTGGCAGCTGCCCCAGAGCATGGCCCACCACAGCCTCCAACACAGAGCAAGCAGCCGCCCTACTGAGAGGCCTCTGTGGGTGCCGTGGTCGGGCTGGAATAGGGGGACCTCCTCGAGGAGCTCCAAGTCCATGAGGGGGGGTGCCAGATGGTGCCTGACCTCACCCCACCTCCTTCTTCAGCCAACAACCAGCTGCTTCAGGTCATTCAAACCCATTCTTCACACCACCCTCCTCACCACCCTCAGCTTCCAGACAAGCACAGAAGCCCAGAGCAGTGGAAACCAGTTGGGTGAGCAGGCACCAGTGCCCGGCACCCATGCCAACATGGGCCGGCCACCAGTGCCCAGTGGGTGAGAGAAAGGCAGTGCCCAGCCAAGCACAGGCCAGAGCCCCCTCCCTGATTCCTCCAAGCCCACTCTGCCCACCCACCCCCAACCTTGGACCAGCAACAACACCACGAAATCTACCCATTGGTGCCAATTAGTGGAGTGAGAATGAGAGAGTGAGACACTGGGACAGAGGGGAGGATAGGAGGCAGGAAGGGAGGGACAGAGGGAGGGGGGAGGGTTAAGGGGTCCTGCAAGCGGGAGTTAGATCGGGGGCCCTGGGGAGGCTCCAGGGAATGAGACAGTAGCGGCACCACGTACAAGTTCCAGGATTTATACCGGGATTTCTTGCGCTTTCTTTTTTGCCCCTTTCCCTTTCCTCGAACTGATTTTCTGGAAAATAAAAAAACAGAGCCAGAGAGGAGGGGGGGAAGGGAGAAGAAGAGAAGCCGTGAGGAGGGTAGGGGACAGGACATGCTCAGGGGAGGGGGCAGGCAGCCTCCAAGGAAGAGCTTGCACGCATGTGCAGGTTGGGGCAGCGGCACTGGATGGCTCCTTTGCCCCGGACACGGCCTTGGGTGGAGGGCACAAGCCCCACAGGCCGCCATGCTCATGGTGGCTCCTGGCCCCCCGGGAGGGGCACAGCACCCCGAGCAGGCCCTTGACCCTGTGTAAGTCTGGCCCTGATGGACAGGGGGCTATAAAAGGTAGGCCAGGCTTTGGGGAGAAAGGTCAGAAACCTGATTTAATTGGGGAGGGGGGTGCCTGTGCTTCAGGCACCTTCTATCTTCATTTCCAAGTGCAATAGCAAAAGGGTCCCTCCAGAGGCCCTGCCTCTGAGAATGTGGGGGAGCAGCTCCACTGGGGGCTGGCACGAAACCAAGGACGGCACATATAAGGCATCTGCCGGTCCGAGTCATAACCTGGGCCGCTGAGAGGTGGGGCTGGGTGTCCTCAGAGCCCCAGGCAGGCTGGCAGGAGGGTGGGGTGGGAGTTAGGGAGGCGTGGGGAGGAGGGGCCTGGGCGCACTTGGCAGGGTGCACCTCCCCAGCCTGTCAAAGCCTGCTGCACCATCTCACCAGACTCCCTGCCGAGCCCAGGCGAGCCCCCGCTCTCCCTGTGGGCAAAGCAGGCCTTTGGGGAAAGGGCAAGGGAGGCAGGCCGAAGCCTGTCCAGTCGAGGGAAACAGCGCTCTTCTCACATGCCAGACCCAAGAGAATGCCCCTCAGAATGTCCGCCACAGGGGAAGCAAGAGGGAGGGAGGCACTGAGGAAGGGGGCAGGTCTGTTTCCTCTTGTTGGGAGAAATGCTGGAAGGAGGAAGGTCTTCGAGTGTGTGCACATGCATTCTCCCTCTTCCTCCTTCTCTCTCCCTCTCTTCTCTCTTCCTCTCTCTCTCCCTCTCTCTCTCTCTCTCTCTCTCTCTCTCTCTTCCACAGCAATTCTGGAAGTTGGGGACTTCAGGAAGAGACAAAGGGTTGAGGCCTAAGGGCCTTCAATGTCCTCAGAAAATGAGCAGATAGGGTGGTGAGGGCGGGGAGGGAAGGGCATAGGTGATCTTTCTCAGTCTCTTTTCCTGCAGACTCGTCCCCAGGCCAGCTGCTCACCGAGTCCTGAGGGCTCACTGCCCCCAGACCTTGCCCTGCTCCACCCCTGCTCCATCCTGACTTGACCCTCCACACTGAGCAATTGGAAGCCTCAGGAAATGACCGACATTCAATCAATTCTTTCTCCCTGACCAAGAGGGCTGGTGTCTCTGGCTGCTTCACTCCTGCAGGAGGGCATACGCCCCAAAACACGCCAGCCGGCCCCAAAGCCAACTGCACCACCACCGCAGCCACCGTAGAGGCTGTTTCCTCTGACGCATAGAAGCTGGCCTCTCTGCCACCGGCTCCCTCTCCCTGCGGTGGGTGATGGGAAGCTACAGCACCAGGGAGCCAGTGTCCACACTCCGCCTCGACACACCAAGACCACCAGTCCCGGCCAGGGGTGACCTGGAGACCTGGGACTCGTCGGTTCTCCCAAAGGAAGCCCCAGGCTCCAGGCTGGGTTTCGTCCCTGCGTCTACAGCCATAATCCTGGAGTTTGCTCCACCCCATTGCAGCCACCACATGTCCTCATGAGACCAAGTCTTGACCCAGGGAAGTCATCAGGCCCCTGACAGAGGAAGCCAAGAGCCCCAAACCGAGAAAACAGGCAAGGAGAAGGAGAACTGAAGTCATGGCCACTTACTTTTCTTGCCTTGCTCTCTCTTTCTTTGGTCTGCAGCGGTAGAGAAAGAGAAAAGAACAAAACAGAGAGGGGTTCAGATGGTGATGAGAGTGATGATATAATAACAATACTACTACTAATGAAAACTTAACATCGTGTTTACAATATAGCAATACAGTTTTAATCTCTTTAGAGGTAACTCACTTAATCCTTATAACAATGCTATGAGGTACATTCTATTATTGTACCCACTTTACAGATGTGGAAACTGAGGCACTGAAGTAAAGTTGAAATGCCCAAGGTTACATAGCTGGGAGGTGGAAATGGGCCAACAAGTGGAACGGGCTTAACCCTGGCACAGAGCAGGCAGCCGTTTGCTGACTGCGCCCTCACCTGCATTCACATTTGCTGTGCTGTAGGAAGCTCATCTCTCCTATGTGCTGGACTTTGTGAATTCTGATCCGCATAATCTAGAGGAGAAGGAAGCACATCACAGAGGTTAGTGACCCAGCCAGCCAGACCCAGATGGGACACCCCTGTGGCTCCTGCCACTCAGCACCCAGGGGTTCTACAGAGCAGTGATGGGTGGTGGAGTTAGGGGGACCGGGGGCTCTATGAGAAAGAGCCTCAGGCCCACCCCAACTCCCCCAACCCTGCTGACCTCAAGGAGCCCCTGCTCCTCTTGAGGCAGACACAGCTGCACGGGTTGGCCAGGCTGGGAATTCAGATCCTAAGTTCTCACCACTCCCCATCCCTCCCCTCCTTTCATCCCTTTAGGCCTCACCCTGAGAGCCCCCACCTTGGGGTCTCAGAGCTCCCTCCCTCCCACCCTGTCCAGGCTGAAATGGACCCCATCACCAGACAGCATCAAACCACTGGCTTAGAAACGCTCCACAAACCACACTCATCCAGCTTCCCAAACAGAGCCCCGGAGAGGGAGGGAGGGCGAGACAGGCTCCTGTCACAGGTGTCACCCTCCTCCTGAACCCAGGGGCAAAGGTCAGGGAGAAAGAGGAGGCGGTGGGGGCTTGCTGGGAACCTGGACTGGGAAGTACAGGCTTCTTTTTCCCCAAAGAGGCAAGACCTGCCACACCTCCCCGCCTGACTCAGGGGCAGGGGCTGGACAAGGCAGGTCTGGCTCCTCCTCTCAAGTGCCCTCCTGCCCCTCCTCCTCACAGGGACGCACCTGCATGGTGATGTTGTACTCCTCGGTGGGCACGCACTCCAGGCCCTCATCGTTGCAGCAGCCCCCGCACCGCATCAGGGGCACACAGGACGGCTTGAAGATGTACTCGATCTCATCAGGGTACTCCTGGAAGATGTCCACCAGGGTCTCGATTGGACGGCAGTAGCTGCGCTGGTAGACATCCATGAACTTCACCACTGCACGGGAGGGGGTGACACATGAGCCCAGCAGGTCACACAAAAGATGGCCAACCCCTATCTCCGCCCCGCTCCACAAGGCCACTCCTCCGGGTTTCTGTGAGAGGTGCCCACTATCGGGCGCATCCTCTCATACATCTAACTTAAGTCCCTCCAGCTGTGGTTGAAGTCCTTCCCTTAGCTTTCTATCAACACTGCTGAAGACCTGTTTTTATGCCAAAGACCGCAGGATGCTGTCGGGTTCTGCAGGAGACGGCCCGCCACATCTCACCCCCCTGCCTCAGCATGACAGCCAAGCCAATTCCTGGATCAGCCCTGATGCCAGAGGACAGTCTGAGTAGCAGTATACCTGTTGGGGGTGCTCTAAGCATCCCCTAGAAAAAGGAACAGCCAGCTTGGCCATCCTACTCCCCATGGACGTACAACCTCTCCATAGCCACTGCCATACCCTACCAACCTACCAATACCATTTAATGAGCATTTACTGTATGCCGGGCCCTGTGTACAGTACTCTAAGTTGACATCTCAAACAATTCTCTACTATGAGGTTCTGGGACCTCCAGAGGCTCGGAGGCTGAGTAACTTGCCCCAAGGCCACACTGCTAGTAAGCGGTAGAGTTAAAATCAGCCTGGGCATCACAGCCTTCCTTAGCTTTCCTCTGCCATGAGAAAACAGGGGAAGCTTCGGGGGGCACCTTGCCACCTCCCAGACCCCCCCCCCCCAGGTGGTAGAGTTAAAATCAGCCTGGGCATCACAGTCTTCCTTAGCCTTCCTCTGCCATGAGAAAACAGAGGGGAAGCTTCGGGTGGCACCTTGCCACCTCCCAGACCCCCCCCCCCCCAGAGGTAGGCTGAGGAGGCAGTGGGCATAGCACAGGACTGGGGCTGCCTGGAATCAGCAGGTGGCAGTGGGCGGGCACACTGGGCAGGCCCTGCCAGCCACCGATAACCCCACCCAAGAGGGCAAACTGCTTGCATCATGGAAAAAACGGTGTTGCCACTGCAGCCACAGAGCACTTCTAGAAGTTGATCCGGAGGGAGAGCATGGCAAAGGCGGCTTCCCAGGCTGGAGGCGGGGCCTGAGGTGCATCGGTGCATGAAGGGGTAATTCTGGGCCACAGGGGCGGGCCCTTGAGAATAAATAAACTCAGGACTCTGGAATGACTACTCCAAACTGTGGCCCAGTCTGCCACTCCCTATCACACACCCCCACCTCCACATAGCAATTCTGTCCCTGGAACGAGTTTCCCCTGCACAGGAGGGAAGAGCAGCACCCAGCCAGCAAGGAGGCAGGGCTCCGGCCGTGACTTGGTGTGACCGCGGGCCAGTCCCTCCTCTCTGCACATCTGTGCAAGCGGCTCGGGCTGATCTCTAAAGACACGGAAACAAAGGCTGAAATGTGGAGTTTTTGTCCACCCTTTCCAGCCCCAAAACAAGCTCCCTTTTCCCAGCCCAGGTAACACAAGGTCTGGAACCTCAGCGAGGCCTCCTCCCCCTCCTCCCTCCAGGGGAACGAAGGCAGAGGAGCCAGAGGGCTGTGCGTGTCCTAAGCGGGTTGAGGAGAATTTGGAGAGTTGAGGGAAAGTAAGTAGGGGCGGAAGCCACCGATGCGAAAACAGAAAGAACAGTGGGGACTCCCAAGCCCGTCCCAGGCCTTGCCTACCACCTCTACGTTCTCTATCCAGGCAACGGCCACAAAATTCTTCTCGACCCCCAAAAAGGGTTAAGGTAAAGTGTCTTCAAAAAGAGCATAAAAACAAGACTAGGGATCTGAAGAAGTCCTTTTCTAAGCCGAGTCTATATTGAAGTAGATGACTAATCAAGACCTGACACTTTGTCATGGTTGGGGACAGAGGTGGCCCAGGCCTCAGGGCCACAGGTTCCACCCAGGACAGGAGAGTAGAAAAGTTTGGCCTGGGCCATGGTGGCTGATAGCTGGGTGAGAATTCCTTGGAAAAGCTCCCCGGATTCCCCAGGGTGGCAGGCAGAAGGGGAACACTTCACCAGCACCCCAGCCACTGCCTCCAAAGAAAGCTGTCCTGCTTTGGCACAGGGCGTGGACACACAGACACTCCAACATCGGGCTTCCGTTGTTTTCCTTATTTCTCGAAGACAACCTTTTCCCCAACAAAGACCATTTGTCTTGCCTCTCCCCGGCCACTGAGACCACTGGGAGGCTGAGGGGGTAGGGACACGGGGAGCGGGTGGCCTGTCAGTGGTACAGGCTTGGAGTGGCCAGGAAGCCAGGCCCTGGGCCAAGGAAAGGGTTCCCAGGCCAGGAAGGAGGCAGAACCGGCTGGGCATCACCACCAGTGGGGAGTGCAAACATCGCCCTTGGCCACTACCCTGGGCCTACTTGATTAAGGTCAGGGAAAAGGGCCTAGAGGAAGACTTCAGAGCTGGGGAGCTGGGGGAAGTAGCACTGGGCACTCCGCCCCCAGGCTTGCGCAGAGGCCACATGCAGTGGGGGGGAGAGCCTGGACATCCCTAGAGACAAGGGAGGCTCCCTATACCAAACCTCAGCGAACAAAAGGCAGGCCAGGCCGACTGGGCTTGGGCAGGGGGTGGGGCGGGCGCCTTGGAGCGACAGCCAGCCCCCTGCTGGCCCAGCGGGGAAGTTCACAGCACCCAAACCTCCTCCACCTGGAGGGCAGAGGGAGGCCTTAGGGCTTTCTCTCTCCACCCTCAAAGGAATACAAACTGGGGGATGGGGTCCCCTGAGGCTGGGTCTCCGCACCCCTAGCTCATGCACAGCCAGCTCTCTGGATGGCAAGGGCCACAGCCCCTGCACACAGGCCCCACAGGTGAGACATGCTGGGTTGAAGTGACGGAGTATCCATCCTCCCTTGGAGGAGGAAGGGGGGGGGGGGGGACGTGCGACAAACAGACTTCTGGGATCCTTGAACATTGTTTGTTCTCCTGGTCCAGGCTCATAGCTCCCTCTCCAAAGAAAACTTTACTGGAAAGAGCTGACGAAAAAGGCCACAAGTCCTATCCCTAGTAGAAGCCTGCATAGGGAAGAGCCAGTCCTCCAGAATGAAGGGTTAATCTTACCCTTTCCCGATCTCCACCGCAGACCATAACAGAAGAAACGGGGCCTCCCTCCCCAACCCTTGGGGAATTAAGGGGTCCCATCCAGGAGCCAGGAGGACTCACCTTGGTGGGCTTTCTGCTCTCCTTCTGCCATAGGCGCAGCCTGGGACCACTGAGGACAAAACAAAAGAGTGAGACATGGGCATGGGCAGGGGGACCGCCACTCTGCCCCTCCTTCCTCCTCCCTGCCCTCCCAGCCCATAGCCTCTGGCTTCTCCAAGGCTTCTGAGTAGAACTGGGCACCACCAGGGGCTCCCTACAGCCAGAGCCCACCCACCACCCCCAGACTGCTCCAATTTTGAAGCCAAAGAAGATCAAGACTGACCAGACACTGGAGATGGGAAGCTCAAAATGCAGTAGGAAAATAGCAGAATATCCAGGTCCCTTCTCCACAATTCTCTCTCCCCATTCTCACTGGCCCATTGCTGAGCTAAGGGAAGTGAATCTTCTCACCACCCCTCAAACGCCCCCACTCCCTGGTCCAAAGCCACAGGTAAGTATTAAGGTCAAACAGGACAAATTTGGACTGGGGCAGGAAGGAAGGACTGGGGGCGAGGAAAACAACATGGTGACCTTCTCCTGCTGACATGACAAATACCAGGGTGAGCTGATGCTGGGAAGGGAGGGGGTGCAGAGCCCTGAAGGGCACCAACCACCCTCCCCCATCCAGGCTCTTAAGTCTTCGGGAACATTCAGCAAACCCACAGGTTGCCTGGAGGGTAAAACCTGGGAGGAAGACCTGAGGGAGGGCAGAGCTCATTGCTCCCCCTGCACAAGTCTCACCAGGGCCTGAATGTGTCTCCAACATCTTCAGCTTCACACTCCTAGCTTGTTCCCTGGTTTCTCCTCCCTCCCAGACTGAGGGGGTCCCCAAGTCCCTCTCACCTGGGCACCTTCCTCAAATGCAACCAGGGAAGTCTTTTATGCCTTAGCAATGCCCAGCCCCTAGGGGGCCCCCTGCACTACCTAGGCCTGAGGCCTCCCCCCATCCCTCCCCACCCCCACCAGATCATTCCTCCCCTCCCCAGAAGCTGTGAAGGTCAACAAGTCCAACCATGTGAACCTGACAGCACTGGGCAAAGGCTTCTCCCAGCCCTTCCAGAGGGTCTCGGGTTCTCACCAACTGCCCACCCCATCTGCCCCTCTTTCCCGGCAGATCCTGAACAGCAGAGCCGCCCCCTAGCCCACAGAACTGCAGACCCACTGAGATGAGAGTTTCAGTCTGTCTGCCTCTCTCTCCTTCCCACCCACCCCCAATGCACCCCAGTTCCCCTAGCCTTGCCCCCAGGACCAAGGTCAGATAACAGTTTCCAGACTCCCAGCTGGATAGCCTCCAACTGCAGCTCCCTCAGGGGCCCCCCAGAGTCTCCACCTCAGCCCCTCACCCATCCCCAGGACACCCCCTGGCTTCCCTCTGCCAACATTCTCTCTATGGCCTCCACTCCTCCTGGGCCCCAACTAGGAAGGGGACAGAAACTTCATACCCCCTGCAAGGCCTGGGGGCACAGGGAGGAGCAGTCCTGCGCGGGGAGGGGCCAGGTGCCCTTCTCTGGGGGCCTCTGAAGGTCACGCTATGGCCAGTCCGCCACTCCTCCCCTCCCCTCCCTACTTGGAGGCCTGGAGCCAAGGCCTTTGTGCCAGGGTCTGGGGAACTCTGGTGGCAGCAGGGACCCCAGCCCGTTTCCTTCCTGCGGCCTCTCTGCTAGGGGGAGGTCTCAGGGATGGGTGGGAAAATGGCCCCTTAGGTGGCTTGGAGAATCAAGTTGGGTGGGCAAGTTTGAAGTTCCAAAAAACCACCTGCTCCTGCTCCAATGGCTCATTTCACTGGGACAAAGTGTGTTTGCAAGGCTGGCAGGAGTTCTTCCCAAGGCTGCCTACATCACAGCAAATTTCAAACCCTTTTCCCAAAAAAGTGTAAAGTGGGGGACACTCTTTAAACGCTCCCACGGCCCACCCCATAAGAGCTACAGCGCATCCCACTTGGAAGTGTGGGGGAAGGGAGGGAGGCTGCCTGTCACCGAGCGGTAGCCCTGGACAAAGCCTCCGGGGGACCCTGGCACCCTGACCCCTGACAGAGACCCCCTTCTCCCCGGACTCGCGGGCTGAGAGAGGCTGGGTGGGTCTTCTCGGCAGAGGGAGTGAAAACTAAAGGGACGGGCAGGGGTTCTCTCCACGCCGGGGAGGAAATGGGGAAGGGGCGTCAGGCAATCCCTCCCAGCACAGGAAGAGGTTAGGGGCCGGAGGCAGCCGGAAGGGACAGGGTGGTTCTCCGGGTGCTCCCGCTGGGCTACCTCGAGAGGTCACCTTCCCACAGAGGGCCGG